GTAGATTAATTATTTTAATAGAACCAAAAAGAGATTTTATTTGTTAAACCTTCAATTTGGAGCAATTACATTTTGGTACACTCTATTTTATCATTTGAGTATTCTTTACTTTAATACTACACACATCTGATACATTTTGTAGTCAGAACCACCATTTATTTTTCATGTCAGCCAAATCCTGCTTTTAATCATTTTAATTTTGCAAGTCAGTCATCTCCTGTAGTTTGTAGTCTGTGTTTTTCAACAAACTATTTTTCGGGTCATGGACATTTTTTCACTGTCCGTATCTGCACTTACATGTGGTTTATGAGTTCATATTGTTTTCATGCCTCTGCCCTTTCTAAAAGTGTGGCCTGTACTTTGTATCTGCCCTCTGTGTTTTTCACACCTCTTACATACCTCTTCTATGACAAAGCCAAGCAGGCAGAGATATTAAATTTAAACAATGGTGGTAGTAATTGAAATGACGCCATACGATAGAATACGATACTAGTTTGCTACAATTATAGTCAAATTCAATTTTTAGGTATGCTTCTATGTAATATGCATACAATTGTTATTGTGAGCGTACAGGAATCTAAGTGGGCACTGTAACTCACTTTACCTGCATAGTTGTCATGTATTAACCAGGCTTATCATTGATTTTATCAGTAACATGTCCATATCAGAAGCACCTCTGACACTCAACATCCCAAGCACTGCATTAGATAACATTGTCATGTCAAACTATATTGACACTAACATCATGGTCATGTGACTTGCTTTGGCTTGCTGAATCACAGTGTTACACCATGGTTACTTACACATTTGTATTCTTGAATTTATCATACATATTTTTTTAGAAGTGAGGATGGCTTGTAAAGGTGGTGATCAAGCTTTGCTCACAACCAGCTGTGGGTTATATTACTTCAAAATAAAATTGCAAAAAAATAGTGCAACAGAAATAAAAAAATGGACATATATCTTTAGCAGTTAAAGGAATTCACAATTCAGCATTCAATGTTGTATTATATATACATTACCTTTTTATCACATCCATTACCATTTGTTAATTGAAGTTCTACTATTGCTGATGGAGTATGAAGCTGATCAATATGCCTTGCTTGCGTCTTCAAATCTATTCGCCAGCTGACAGATTTAAGTGTACTATTCCAAGTTGACTATAGATCAAACACACAAAATATTAAAGAAAATTTAGAAAAATCTCCTATGTGTTCAGTGCATTGAAAGGATGAAATAGATGTACAAAAGTTACCGACAATTTAAAATTTAAGACTAGCATAAAAAAAGCAAGTCTGTCAGCTAATATATGTTTGCTCTTTGAGATGCACAAGGTAAAAGGAATCTGATCAACAGATTGAAGTTAATAATACTAACTAAAATTGTTATAACAAAAGGAATACATCTACTGTATGGTTTGTGCTCTCATGTCTGTAAAGCATCCCAGACTACCAAAGTTTCACTATATAAGCACAAATTTCATTCCTGAAGTAATTATGTTTATTGATTAACTCAGAAACCTATTATTTGAAACAATTAGATAATCATGTATGGATTTCAACCAAGAACTAGATCCGTGCATTATCCAAGATCACTAACTGTTCTTTAAAAGTATTCTTTTACTGTAAATATATCATACTTGCCTAATTTATTCAAATTAGGAGATTATTATACAAAGATATCTGAAACTCTAATACTCTAATAATTTTGTGAGTAATATTTGTAAAGGAGGCCATTTTAATCTTTATTTAAATGTGAGTTTTTTGTGGTAGATTTGACATAATTAGTCTATTATTTCAGAGCAAAGTTTATCCTGTCATAACCTGTGGTAGCCTAAAGTGGTAAGATTAATTGACAAAAAACACTTAAATATGTGATTTGTTTACTGTTGTCATGGCGACCAATATATAAACACAACTTGAAATAAATCAACAAAACAGGCATTAATGAATGTTTTTTTAATGCTGCAGTTTTGAGTTCAATTGAGTTTTATAAGGTAAATGCAGTAGCAGTCAAGACTGACAAAAATCCTGTAACAATTCTCGAAACAGTTTTATTTATTTATTCAATCACTTAAAATCCATTGCAATGAATCATAACAAGACAATGATAACAAGACAAAATGATAACAAGACAAAAAAAATGACATAACAAAACAAAAATAAACACAGAGAAAATTAAAAAAATTAAGAAGGCAGGAAACCCAAGAATTTGGAAGTGACGTCAATATCGAGAAGGTGTTGCTGTCTAAATTCAAAACAGACTCACAAATATTTGCTTAAAGGGATTGACATGGATTAATTGCACACAATAAAGCTGATTGGTTTATTTTATTTTATTGAAATTTGTGGATATTTTCCTTGCTTTTGTAAATAGAGTGTTTCGGTGTTGGGCATAGACAGGGCATGACATCACAAAATTTTGTTCATCTTCGATCTGATTTGTTTAACAGAGAAAACATCTTTTCAATGTACTGAAAATACACATTATAAGGCCAAAGCATTTCTCAATCGAACATTTTTTGTTTGTTCTATTTTTGCTTCCTGAAGAATAAAGAAATTGTATAATAGAAGAGTACTGCTTAATTCATTGTCTTTGTTTACACATGCGTGTTTACACGTAAGTAGTCTGGTGGTTGCTAACCACATTTGCATATTTTACTCTGTCACAAACTACAGAGATTTCAATGTCAAATATTGACAGAAAAACCACATAGATGAAATCAATATTTTTTGCAAGCATTCAGTATGAAGAACTGTCAAAGATTGATATGAAATATACAGTGTTAAGGAACAATTAGATTTTTTCCGTAAAGTGTGATCATGACAAAATTGATGAGAAAAAATTAAATTGGCTTGTCCATGCAAGATTTCTGAATACTCTTGGAACACTTTGAAAAAAAATGAATTGAGTTGAGTACAGAGTTTCCTCTTTTAATTCACACAAAAACACATTCCCCTATGCACAGGCGAAGATATACTGAGGGTAGTAGTTGTGATACAAAAAAACTATTGTTCGCTTTCCCATTATATTTTCGTTTTTTTTATTCAACATTTTGTGATGTTTTGAGATGACTCCATAATTAAGTTACCGGGGTACGTTGAAAAGATTAGGCTACACAGGACTCTGCGGCTATTGGTCACGGGTTTATTGCCCGGTTCAGTTGACCCACAGGTGTGGTGTGTTAAACGTGCCTTGCACCCTGTTCTAATCACTTGGTCACTTGATATGCAAATTATAACTCATGAATATTAATAGCAACTCACAAGAGACACAAATGAATCATGAGGCAGAGATATGGAAATCACTCTAAAAGAGTACACTTTTTTTTACTGTTTTTCATGGATTTGCCAAAGCTGATTTTTTATTTCTGAAAGAAAGAGATAGGTGATTGTCTCAGAATTCGTTTTTCATGATTCAGTGAAAATAAAATCCAGCGAATATACCTTTTTCCTATATTTTACATTCAACTTGTCAAAAATCGGTGAAAATACAAAACATCCAAAAAGTCTTTTAAAAGTATTTTACAGTAAGTTATTTATAAGCTATGCACCTGCATATTGTTTTACTTTATATATATCATATATATTGGGGAGTTTCTATTGATATACCCGTTATCATATTAGGCAGCATCTCTTTATACATAGAGGGTGCTCTACTAAGTCATGTTGTGGCTGAAATATAACACAGTCACAAAACAATTTACAAGTGATGATAAATGACAATAATTAGTCCTGGTCGATAGAGACAAAGTAAGAACGTAAGTTGATAAAAATGTAAAAAATACTAAATATCCCTTACTTGGCTGATGACGCTGTCATGAATCTTCACTTTGTGATTCTTCCAGAACTTTGAATATACAGCAGCTTGTTCTTCAGTGATACCACCTTCTCTTTTCTTTGTGTGTGAACTCAAGAAAGCTGCCAACTGATTGTAATCCATGTCAGCTGATATTATACTCTGAAAACATGCAATTGAAGTTTATCAGTCAAAAAAACCAAAACAATTACATCACTACACGCATATACATGTGATTTAAGGCAGCTTTAATTGAAATATATATGAGAGGAAATTATTGATTTTGAGCCAACATATAACAACATATGGTTCAAAAAGTGCATTATGAAATACTAGTAGTAGTTCTGGCATTCTGACTAATAAAAAAATAATTGAACTTGGAGGGATTTTCATGAGAGGTAACAGGTGGGATATAGGAGCTGCCAACATGATGCACTATGACAAAAAATGTAATAAGCCAAAATTATGCAGCTGCTTTGTGGACTTTGCCAAAGGTTTTGTTACAATCTGGATAACTGGTCTTTTCTATAAATTAATAAATAACAGATCATTGTTGCAATAAAGGGAATGTTATTCATGCCTATGTTTACCAGGTATATAATAAGGCCAAAATGCAAGATGGCTGCAAGTCTGTCGTCTTTTATCTGATTACAAATTGAATTATTATGTATTGCTACATGCAATAATATATGCAAATCACTGGTCATGAGGCAAGCATTTGAAGATAAAAACATATCGTAATTATTAAAACCATGTTCATTGAGAATCTAAATTAAATAACAAATGTATGGATGGATCATACAAACTAAACAATGCAATATCTTTTCTTTAAAAGTGAGTCCTGAAACAATGCAATAAATAATATATCCAAACATTTTACACAGACAATTAAAAAAAAAAAAACTACATGGAGTGTATTAATCTTAATGTTCCTTATAGAGTAATATAACATGAATTGTATGACAGTTTCTAAAAAAAATAATAGTACAGCAACATATCTAGGCAAAATTTGACAAGAAAAATACTAGCTAAAGTGTTTTTCAATTAATATTACATATACTGTATTATTCTCAATTTCCCTCATAAAATAATACAACATGAATTGTTCCTAAATAATAGTGTAGTAATATATAAAAGTGAAATAAAATACTAGCCAGATTTAAAAAAGGCAGGAAAACACTGCACTACTCAGGGGAGAGTAGGAAATCAAACTGGCTGGTGCACCGCTACTCAGTGCAGAGCGCCAATGAGAACTGGAAACTGATTAAAATTAGGGGTCACCAAGACAACAGCTACTAGCTCAGGTGTGAAATACATATTTTATCTGTTTTTAAATCTATCAGGTTTTGATCTATGCTGGCATAAGATATGATAACACCATGTTATTATTGGTCCCAAATATTTTATAAAAATAAAGTTCTATTAATCCTATAATATGTACGGATTGTTGTTATATTATATGACACAACAGATACAAGTAAAAAAATTATTCATTTGGTAAAAACAGGGGGCACACTGCTGGGACTAACAGAAAGTTACAACTCGCATTTGGTATTATGATTTTTCAAAGCCATGATTTGACAATGGTAGGTATTATTAATGTTCATTCTTAGTCTGTATCGCGATCCAGAGAAAATGTTCAGGATCAGTAAAAGAAAACAGACAAACTAAAATGTCATCTTGTGTTTTACATGTGACATGATTATTTAAGAGGCCATGTACAAAAAATGTATGTTTTATAAATTAAATCAAGCCTTGCCCATGACATATTTTTTCAACAAAGGACATTCATTTTCATGTTTGTGTTAATAATTAGTAACTATTTCGATGTGCGTCAAGCTGGGTGGCCCAGTTAAAATATTCAGAGCCAGTACAATAATGTATACAAATTTGTATAATTTATTAGTAAAGCAATGCAATAAGTCAACGATGTTGAAATATTCAGAGGCAGTAGAATATTTTATACAAATTTGCATAATTTATTAGCAAAGCATGCATGATGTATATTCATAAAATTTGAGTTACTAACTCAAATTTTCTTAACAGTTACATCCACACACTGTAATTCATTTTTAAAGTGCCTGTGAAATTGCTGCTATTTTCTCGCCTAAAATCATTCATTGGTACATCAATATTATTTATTTTTATGTTTCTAAGCATAAAATATTTTTTTAAAGTGAAAAAGCGCATTTCAAACTTGTCTTCGGCAACTTTATTTTTATGTATTAGCTCATTAGCTTCTCATTTGTATACAAAAATTTCCCTTGTGACATCAGAAAGAGAACTTGCTGGGCAGCTTGCATCGTCGACACATGTATATAAGGCAAATTTCTTGTACAGTTTTCTCATCTTTGACTGAATTGCCCTTGTTTGTCGAGGAAGAACGGACCATAATGAACACATAATATCAAGTTTGTCACACAGGGTCAAGTTAGATGCGAAATATGTTCTTTCTGGCATAGCTGGTCACTGTGATCGTCACCGTCACTCGTTTGTACACTAGTACTGTCGCTGGACCCGGCACTGGACAACATTAAAGTTGGTAAAAAGTTAGAAAGAACTACAATGAAATTGGTCAGGACTGCACAACTACTTATATGGTAGTCAGTTGAAGTGTTGACTTCTAATTCCATGTACTTTATGCTTATGTCGATCCTTGTCAAGTTTGTCAAAATCGAATTTGTGGTTATTTAGCAGCAGCTTACTAGGCATTTCACGATACTGTTTTATTTCATCGATCGTTTAAACATTTAACTGCAGTGATCAATAATATAGAGAAATACTTTAAAAAAAAAAATCACAGTTACCAAATAAACGACAGCTGCGTGGAAATGAATTGATACAAAAATAATTGAAAGCGAAACATATACAGACAAATTCAGAGTGGATTCGAGTTAGCGTGTTTGTCATAATTATGACATCATATTAAAAATTTACTTGGTCGAAACACATTGACAGACCAAGCCTGGATTCTTATTCCATAAATTATTATGCAGAATTATTGCTACTTCTCACATAAAACTAATTCTCTTTCTCAAAAAAAAAAAAAAACGGCAAAAAAATGTATATCATTTACTAGTGAAAGTATGTTGAATGGCGCAGTGTTATTGAAGTAAGGAACAAGAGTACGGCTTCCTCTCAAATTTTGGCATTTGATGGTGCACTTTAACTTCAGCGAAAGACTGACATACGGAAACAGTCAATCGTTTCAGGATAGGTGGGCGTGGCTATAGCACTAGAAATATCTCAAATTTACTTGGATACAAGTAATCATTTTCAACAACAAAATTAATAACTGTCCATTTCAGTGGGACACAGATTTAAAATGGGAAACGTATGGGGGGGGGGGAGCATTTCACAGGCTCTTTAACCATGTGATAAGCTTATTTGTTTAACATTTGCCCTTAGTCCCTGAGCACATTTGCAGAAGTTGCAACAATGCTATTGTTATTGTTGCTAACAAAACACTCCAAAATAAACCACTGTTGAGAGATTTAAATATTTTGCTTGCCTAATTTAAGTGACAGTCGTTACTAGGATGAATGTTCGTTTATAACGAGAAATATATATTCCCTGTTAACTCCAGCTCCAATTTGTTAGGGTATAACTTTCTAACTCAATGTTCCTAACTTGGGAAAATTAGGAATCTCACATGGACCAATGAGTTTTTTCAAATAATTAAACTATTTAAATACCTATTCCTCCTTTCAAAATGAATGTGATTGACAATGCATGCAAGCACAGATAACTGACTGTACATTGCGAGATATCATTGAACACAACAATATATTATTTATAGTATGCAACATATACTGTGTTACCACAGTGGTTAGACAGCAATTATTTGATGATAAAGGAAATGATTAATAATTCAAGGCATTTATTATCACCAGTACATCATGTTTCTTTTACTGTGTCTGCTATAGTGTCAGTACTGTATAGCTAGCTTCCAATGTTCTTGGGACCCACCCCTTTTGTCAACGAATCAGTCAATATTGGTATTGCTGGCATCGACTAAAGTTAATAACACAGATTAGATACGATTCAAGGAAGTGTAAAGTCGCCTCATACCGGTTCGAGTCGCTACCGAAAAAAACACAAATATTACAATTTTTACAAATATTAGACTCGTCACATTGACAGTCCACTTCCGTCAACTTTACCTTCAGTAAACCCGTGTGCTTCATAAGAAGTTTTTGGAATTCATCTTCCGATATATTTGGGTATAGCTCCTCCTTGAGAAATTCGTTAGTAACTTCATTATCTCCATAATAGGTGTACTTAGCGACCCCATTCAACAATCCTAGTAAGTTTCTACTCTCTTGGTCAGCCATATTTCAGCGTCTGCCTCCCCTTGTCCAATCAAAACGGGTGTTTAAAAGAAGTATTCATAACTAGTGTTTTGATTGGACGTTACTGCAAATTTGTTTGTTTGCAGTTATTTCCTCTAGACATGCTGCGTGCGAGTTGTGGTTGACTCAAAAACCTTAAAAATCCGAACAAAATGTCCCTATTTGGCGCTTCGAGGTTGTCAATTGGTCTTGTTGGCGTGAGAAGATCGCTACCCCGAAGCGCGCTTCTTGCAAGACTTTTTTGTAGCACCGAAACTGAATCCGCTGGTGAACATGGTTTTTATCATGTTACGATTGCCGGGGGTGGGATGGTCGGTACAGCTATGGCATGTGCTCTAGGTAATATCAATTTTGTATAAATTACTTAGCCCTGAATTGCATCTCAATATGACTATTTATAATAACCACAGAATTGTAAAAGGGAAATATTTACATTCAGTCATTGGCAGCTTACTTAAAATAAGTATGTGGTCCTCTGGTATTGCACTGTTTTTTGTAAACAAACAAACTATAGAAAAATATAAACCAAAAACACTAATTATTTCCTGTAAAGTCAATCAAACCTATACTGATTTTTACTCCATTTTAAGCACATCTCGTATAGAGACACACATTAATAAAAAAACTTTATTTATTGCTGCGTTACTAAAATATGACTTTTTTTGATTACCTCTCTCACTTATAAAAATTGGTTAATCAAGAGATCAAAAACATTAGCCTGTATTAAGTAATTGTGGGTGAATGCCTGAGTACAGACGAAAAAACTTCTAGTCCAAGATACAGATCTTCTCAGATTTTTGTTGCTGCTGTTAAAGTTCATTTGAAGAAAAAGGGAGTAACACTGATAATGTCAACCTCTATGGCATTGATGCCCAAATATGGTATTTATTTTTAATAATTCATCTTTATTTTTTCCAGGAAGTCATCCTATGTTTGAAGGAAAGAATATATTACTTCTGGAAGCTGGACCATCCAAAACATACAGTGACAGTGTGCCAGATCTCTATAGCAACAGAGTTAGTTCCCTTAATCCAGGGACTGTTGAGCTATTAAAAAGTATGGTTGTCAATTTATTAGTAAATTAATTAATTGGTATGAATTGTACTACCCCAAAATTATTACTTTGGAAATAACTGTGCAAGCTTATGTTATTCTGTTTTGTTATATTTAGAGTATCTTCTACTTGAGAAGAAATCATTTCTAAGTGTCAAATTTGCTAAGCTTACATGCCTGTTGTTACATATGCCTTATATACAAGTGATAAATTGTATAAATGTTGTTAATTATTTGTGCATATGAAACCAGCTGAGGGATGCGTCTCAACATATAACAGTTTTGAATTTTTGAAAAAATATCTAAATTACAATGAATTATGTTTAAAGAAAATCAATTTTCACAGTTCTGGTCTCTCTGTGTTATAGAGATATAATGTAATAAAGCTTTTAATAAATATGTTAGCCCAAATTTTACAGTGACCTGATTGTTTTTGAACTTACATCTAACAGTCATTTAAGACAGTTTTATGGTAACTGGAAAATCGTGGAAACTTGATGCGATGAAACTCTTTTCTCATTAAATTTGAAAATTTAAGAATGACTGTCAGTCTCAGATTTATAACTCGATGGTTTCACTTAAAACGAGTAGCAAGATTTATTATCATTGCCACTAGAGGGCGATGTTTCTTTAATCCTTGTAAGAACCACCATCAAAGCATAGCTCTACAGCTGTAGCATATACACCATACATAGTCTTTGCAAGGTAGCAAATGTATTAGGCTGCATATATTACAATTAAATCAAAATAATTATTTATGATAATATTATAATAATTAATTTTAGATTTAGCTACAAAAAAGTATGTCACTTTTGCCATCATTATTTTTTTAAAAAAACATCACCAACAGTAAAGTATTTATTCGTTGAAAAACATCTATTTAATAAGTCTATGTTACATATATTTCCATTTGCTACATGAATTTGAAAACACTAATCATTCACTGTTTTTGTATACTGCCCTCTATGCACAAGGTTTGCTTATTGGACGATGCTACTGTCATTTTGAATTATATTCATCTGTACCAGTGACATCAAGACAATCACAGTTGCTGTGATTGGTCAAATGTTTTTTCAACTATTTTGAGTTTTAAAATGTTATTTAAATATTTATAAACTAACTTAACCACATGCACTAGTAATCTGATATCTTATTTATCATTTTAGGCATTGGTGCCTGGCAGTACTTAAGTAAAATGCGAGTCAAACCGTACAAAAGAATACAGGTGTGGGATTCCTGTTCAGATGCAATGATCACATTTGATAGAGACAATTTCAGTAAAGAAGTGGCCCACATTGTAGAAAATAACTTGACAATTAATGCACTCAGCAAAGTAATAGATTCATTGAAAGGTGACAGAGTGGAAACAAGGTATCGATCAATGGTTAAGACAATTGATCTACCAAAACAAGGGGATAATGCCAAGTATCCATTTGTCAAAGTTTACCTTGAGAATGGAGAAGAGATTCACACGCAGCTACTGATCGGGGCTGATGGAGCGAACTCTAGTCTCAGAAGGATGGCTAATATAAATCACATCAATTGGAGTTATGACCAATCAGCTGTTGTCTCTACTTTACAGTTAGCAGAGGTAAGTAAATGAATATGTGTATTGTTGAACACCGTCTTATTGGTTTCTGTGTAATGTTGAATACAATGTAATGCTGGATACAGTGTAATGTTGAATACAATGTAATGTGGTGTTCTGTGTAATTAATGTTGAATACAGTGTAATACTAGTATTGGATACTGTGTAATGTTGAATATAAAGTAATGCTGGATACAATGTAATATTGGATACAGTGTAATGTTGAATGCAGTGTAATATTGGATACAGTGTAATGTTGAATACAAAGTAATGTTGAATACAAAGTAATGCTGGATACAGTATAATGTTAAATACAAAGTAATATTGATTACAATATAAGTCATATTGCATGCTGTGTAATATTGAATTTTGGATACAATGTAAAGTTTAATACTGTGTAATGTTGGATGCAGAGCAATGTTGGATGCAGAGCAATGTTGAGTACAGAGCAATGTTGTATACAGTGGATACATTCTTATTCTGAAATAAATTGTTACCATTCACACATGAATGTTGCTGACATGAAAAATCTGTACATTTATTTATAGCCAATAGAGAACAATGTTGCTTGGCAGAGATTTTTACCAACTGGACCTATAGCAATGTTACCAGTGAGTACACTAAATTATCATTGATTGTCATGGTTTTGTAGTGATTAGCTACACTATGAATTAGTGAATATACAATGTAGCTGAATTAGCTACACTATGGATTAGTGAATATACAATGTAGCTGAATTAGCTACTCAATGAATTTGTGAATATACAATGTAGCTGAATTAGCTACACTATGAATTAATTAATATACAATGTAGCTGAATTAGCTACACAATGAATTTGTGAATATACAATGTAGCTGAATTAGCTACACTATGAATTAGTGAATATACAATGTAGCTGAATTAGCTACTCAATGAATTTGGGAATATACAATGTAGCTGAATAAGCTACACAATGAATTTGTGAATATACAATGTAGCTGAATTAGCTACACAATGAATTTGTGAATATACAATGTAGCTGAATTAGCTACACAATGAATTTGTGAATATACAATGTAGCTGAATTAGCTACACAATGAATTAGTTAATATACAATGTAGCTGAATTAGCTACACTATGAATTAATTAATATACAATGTAGCTGAATTAGCCACACAATGAATTTGTGAATATACAATGTAGCTGAATTAGCTACACTATGAATTAATTAATATACAATGTAGCTGAATCAGCCACACAATGAATTTGTGAATATACAATGTAGCTGAATTAGCTACACAATGAATTAGTTAATATACAATGTAGCTGAATTAGCTACACTATGAATTAGTTAATATACAATGTAGCTGAATTAGCTACACAATGAATTTGTGAATATACAATGTAGCTGAATTAGCTACACAATGAATTTGTGAATATACAATGTAGCT